CTCCAGGCTCTGAGCTGTCAGCACAGAGCCTGATGTGGAGCTCGAACTCACAAGCCGCGAGATCATGGTCTGAGAGGAAGTCGGACGCCCAACCGACTGAACCACCCAGGCACCCCTCATTTTTATTTTCTACAAAAGAGGCTGATGATGGTTCCTCCCCCCAGAGGGCTGTTGGAAAGATCAAAACACATATCCTAAATAAAGCATTTAGCACACTTCCTGGCACATAGTAAATATTCATTATATATATTAGCTGTCATTCTTTGTGTATTTTATTTAAAAGGAAACCTCTAAATCCAAATGTGTAGTGTAGACACATTATTTGATTTCAGAAATGGGATATAAAACAGTGCTTCTGAGACTTCAGTATTCCCTGAAGATCTTGTTGAAACGTAGATTCCGACTTGGTAGGTCTCTGGTGGGACCTGGAAATCTGCATTTTGAACAAGCTCCTACTTGATGCTGAAGCTGCTGATCAGGGGATTGTGATTGGGATGTCAGTGGAATCTAGGTGGCAGCTGATTTATCATAAATGTCAAAATATCCTTTTATCATAAATGTCAAAATAAAACATTGCAGTATAGCTCTACATACATTTGTTAACTACTCACTAAGTTCCAGGAGCTCTGCCAGGCACCCGAGCAATGAGCAAAAGCAGTCATGGTCCCTAGCTGGAAGCCTATGATAAGGTAGAGAACACAGGCATATAACAAGTAATTCCATTCTGCTGACTATGGTAAAGGGAAACGTAAGGCACTGTTGCAGGAATACAGCACACGGAGATTTTACCTAAGCCAGGGTCTTTGATGCATTCCCAGGAAGAGATGTCCAGGAAGTCAAGGCTGGTTCCCCAGGAAGAACTGTCTGGAGGATTCCCTGTCTTTGTTGAAGTGTTTACTTCTGTTGATCATCTTTTCAGATGCCCAACATCCTGCCCCAGTGAGCTTGTGATCATGTACATAAAGGCTTATTTGGGGACTGCATGAATATTTAATAGTACTTTTGAATCAGGGTTCTTGCTATAGTAAGTGACACACACACACACACACACACACACATATGCACACACACACACACACAACGAAAGTAAAAAACTCAAAAAGCTTGAGTCAGAAAAGGGAATTCTTGCCCCACATAGCTAAGAAATGCCTGGACTCAGGAGTAAAAAATTTTAGTGCGTTTTGATCTCTCCGACTGCTGACAGACTTCTTCAATGTGAGTGGGAGTCACAATAGAAGGGGTTGAGACCAGCATGGTTATAGATAGCACCAGTTTTTTTTTATCCTAGTGAATGACCCTAGAGGAAAAAGAATTTGCCTTTCTAGGCAATTGTCTGACATTCCAGAGAAGGGCCTCATTGGCCCAGCTTGAGTGACATGTTCATCTCTCAGCCAATCCTATTGCCCAGGATGGTGTGGGGTGCTGTGGTTGGCCTGGCTTGGGTCACGTGACTTCCTTTGTAGGACAGTACTGGACATTCCCGCCAGAACCATGTGGAGTAAAGAGGCAGTTCTCCTGAGGAAGTTTACTGTACATAACAGAGTAACAGATGTCTACTAGTGTGTCTATCCAGAATTCAGTTCATTTTTCTTAGGTGCAACTGTCCAGTCGTAAGGACAAAGCCTGATTTGGGGTACAAAGATACCAAGTTGGAGAAGAAACATATTATAATAGCATTATTTCTTCTTTATTGATACAATGTAATTTAGGTAAAGATTACGTTAAATTATCTTAAATCATTTTTAATTGCATCAAGACATCTGAAGTTGTTCTCTGGTTTGGAAGTTTCAGGTATGATGCTTACTATTCAGCAATTCAGTTTAGTATATTTGTTAAGTAACCAGAGGCTTTTGGTAAGAGATAGAGTTACTGTATAGTTTATATGCATTTGCAACTACAGAATCTTTGTTCTTCCATGAAAGCACTGCATTGGGCAGAATCCACTGAAGATTTCCTTCCAGCAATATTTGAGGACCTGCCCTGGGTTAGGCACTGCTTTAGCCCCTAGAAATACAGAATTCAATGGGATAGGGAGAGACTGATGTTGAATATAATTTGCTATTTTTAAGGGCCGTGTGTGCTCAGTAGAGGTACCAATAAAGGAGGTGGACCTTTGTTATGAAGGCAGGCACTCTCTTTGTTATGACACATGAAAGTATAACTCTTGTTATGAAGGAATCTCATAAAGGCTTCTCAGCAGGAGTAGGACAGGCTCAGATACATGCTGTATGAGGTCACTCTGGCTGCCGCATGGACAATGAACTTCAGAGGAGGAGAGGTACTGAAGGCAGGCTGGCAGTCTTTGGTGACAGTTGAGGTAGAGATGATGAGGTGAATTGCAGGTCGATCACCTTGGCAAGAGTGTGGGCACATGACGTTATACAGTGGGAGATAAAATCAGGAGATACTTTGGAGGTAGAATGGACTGGCCACGCCATCCTGTCCTTACAGGAGAGAGGCAAAATGGCTACAATGAAAAGAGTAGAGGAAATGATGCATGATTCACCCACCTCTTTACCACCATGTACTTCAAGCTGTGCTAGCGGCGAGATCTTCTGAAAGGGAGGGATGAAGATGTAAGACATGAAACGTATTTAATGGATGGCATCGCTGAAGAAATCATGTGGACTTGTGAACGTGTGTTCAATGTATGGTCCATGGAGCAATCATTTTAGAGAGGCGGGGTCCTCTGGAAAGCAGGACGCGTCTATCTGCTTATTCTGTTCCTACACTAGCTCTGGTCTCCCCAGCTCCCAAATCATAGCAAACTGCTACCCGCTAGTTATTTCCAGTGATAGCATAATACTACCACTGGCACCTGCACCAACACATCAATAGGCTGGCACTTGGTAGTAAGTGGGTTTTCCATCAACCATATCCATCTCTCGTTTCATATTTCAGGGACTGGCAATGCGTTCACTGGAAGCAGAAATGGTCAGGTTATTTAAGGGCTAATTGGAGCGTGTCTCTCTCCTGGATGCTTCTCTTCCTTGGCTTAACTGAGCATGTGGAGGAATTGTCTTTTTGTTTTTCTGCAGTCACATTTAACTCTCTCTCTGGAAGCCAAGCAGATTTAATTGTGTAAACATGAGCAATGGTAATTGGGTAAATGAAGTTGGAAACCAAGGTATGATGTTTTTGTTTTGCTCTGTGAGGAAAAAAAAAATAGGGAGCTTGTTTTTCTCTGGTGGCAAACCTCACTGTCAGAATTCTGGACAGGCACTTGGCAAGAGGGGATCCCTTTACGAATTCTCATCAAGACCCACTGAGCTGAAATGTGTCTCTGCTCCCTCGGGGGTTATGGATCAGCCCAGGGACATTTCATTGTTTTATAAACCACCAGGTCAGGTATTTCTCTACATAGGTTCAGCTACCTGGGGGAAAAGAGTAAGAAGTTACACACTCAGGTAACACACACTCATCGAAAGAGCCATGAGGGTGTGTTACCAGCGACGTACCTAACTTTCAGCACAGCTGGAGGTAGAAAACCAGATTTTAACAAAACTTTAAAATACGGAGTGGTTTTTCTTTTTCCTAAAGCAAGGATCCACAGTGGCCTTCCTTTAAATAGCTTTAATTCAAAACTGATTTTTTCCAAATCTGTTTATGCACAATCTTTTCCAAACAAAAGGTTTAAATAAGAGGAGAGACTGATAAATAATTTTTTTTTAGTCCTGCCTTCAAAACATCGAGGTGGTCCCATGATCAAAAGACCTCATCAACTTCTGCTTTTAATAGATGGTTTCACCAGAATATTCTTATTTATCCTTATTTCTCATGTTTTTTATTAATGTTGCTAGCATTACATTTCCTATAAGCCTGAAGTAAAATTCATTTTCCCAGTTGAAAATTTAAGCAAACCCAGAAGCGCACTTGGCAATGGAGTATGTCCCCCTCACCGTGCAGATTGCTTTATAAATGAGGAACTATTAAAAAGGAGCAGGTCTAAGGTTAATGAGACACTCATTAAAGAGAGAGAATTGTAAAGCTGACAGTGCTCTGTGCCTGTATTGAAGGAGAGGCTATTGTTATAGGATGCTTGCTGTGCTGATATTGTAAACCACATGACAGATGGGTCAAGTGCTGATTACAGTATTCTAACATTTGGAATAGCAAGTAACATATTTGATAAGCTGGCAAGTTTTTATATATGATTCAACCCACAATATAAAAGCCACGAGAATTCCAAACTGAAAATAATTAAACGAGCTGGAAACAATCAGATACCACACATTTCCGTCCCCCCCCCCAAAAAAAATGACAGATTTTGACATGTTGAAATTCCACAAAGGGAGCAAGAATATTCCCTACCTCACTGGAACTAATAATGGCCCTTCATCTGCTTTTGTAGAGCAATTCATTCCTGCCTCCTCACAGTGTCGGAGATAACAATAAACATTTGTAGGCACCTTAGGCTTTAGAGAGATCTGTCCAGCATTGTTTCATTTGCTCTTAGCATCATCCCTGCGAGGTACATAAGAAAGATATTAACATTCGCAGTCTGCAGCTGAGGAAACTGAAGCACAGGGAGGTTTAAGTAGAAGGTGTAAGGTTGCCTAAGAAGGTTAGGAAGCATGTTGAAGGGGAGAAGCCAGATCTTCCAGCTGTGAATCCATAAGTCTGATCATTGGAAAAAGGAAGCAGCTGTTAACACAGAGGCGTTCTTCATTGAACAACAGTGTATCTTCTCTCTGCCAATGATGCTGCCACCATCATTCATGTGTATCCGTCTGGATAAGGGCATCCAGTATTTGCATTCAGCCTCTGAGTGTCTCGGTAGGGTGGTGCTGGTGACGCTGGTAAGAGTCCCGTCCCTTGTCGCACAATGTCACGCCTCTGTAACGTTGCAGTGACTCCTAGAAAGGAGCAGCTCTCCATTTGTGTTTTATCACATTTGCTTGTTTGGTTGTTCTTTTCAGAGTTTGTCATCTTGTCACCTTTGTAAAAAGTCACTTTGTCTCTTTACTTTTTTTACTGTCTCTCCTCACCTACCTGAGCAGCCCCCCCAGCGCCTCCTGGGCCTCCTCCACCCTCCCAAACGCAGACCAGCATGCTATCTCAGAGGCTCAAAGGCATGCCTAGGCCAAAACCAAGTACTGTAAACTTCTACCGTTATTGTACTCAGCAGCTTTCTAGCTTAGTTTGCTTTTCCGTTCATTTTTCTTCTGGAAATTTTGTTTCGGTTTGGAACACTGAGCTGCGTGCGGCTCCGGCTCTCGAGTGTGACACTGTAGGTTTTGAGACAGTCGAAAGAGAGCATTTATTTCCAAATGTCCACATTTTTTTTTTTGTCTCTAGCTATGTCTGACATATGCAACATTTTCAAACCTCAATGTCAGCACAAAATAACATTGTTGCATAACATTTTGCATGACGATTTTTTTTATATGTTATGAGCTTCAATTCTGTTGTATGAAATGTTTACTAAGTATATTGTAGTTGTAGTTGCCTTTCCTCAGTGCTCCAGCAGGTACACGATTGGGAGATAGGAATGTTGCAATACGTTTCAAGACAGCGGAAGTGACAAAAAAAAAAAAAAAAGGTCACGTTTAAGCACAAATTTCTCCTTGACCTCTGCTGGGGGCGGGGGGAGGGAGGATGTGCTACAGGATTTTGCACAATATTTTCTTTAAAGACAACATCTTAGACAAGTTGTTTCCAGTACAATTTTTGCCATTTAGCTAGTCAGTTAGCTACGCAAATGAAGAGGAAAATAGTATCTTGTCTCAGCAAAGTGGCTTGATCTACAGATAATGGAATTGCAGTGAATTAATAGTAAATGAAAATCTGCTCCATGGGTTAATTGGAAGATCAAGCATCCTAGATTAAAGGATCCTTAACCTGCTTATGTTAATGGTTGCCTGTTAAAGTAAAACTGCAAAAGGTTTTATTAAACATACTGTTTGTATATATACATCAGGCATACACATATCTGTGTACATGTGCACACACTTATAGAATGGCTGCATGCACATATACACTTTATGTGTATCTATCAATATATATTGTAGTCAATCTAAGAGTACTGCATATTAAAACAAATCTTCAGGTGGTCCTAGCTTAAGCATCTTGGATTTCTCCAGACATGAAAATCATTCACAGTTTTTTAAATAAAAGTACATACAAATGTTGGTAGGAATTATTTCATGTCTATATCATGTGTCACGTACAGCTAGAATTCCCCCTAGATTTGGTGAGTATTCCACCCAAAAGGACAATGTTCTTTATTCTTAAAGCTAGAGATTTCAAAGATGTGCCCCAAGTGGGATTTCCTGCAGATTTGTATTAATGTGCAGGCTTGTCTGGTTACTAGAAAATGTCTGTAAGTGTGTGATGTGTGTATGTGGGTGTATGTGTCGAATGGGTAATAAGCATAGGATGAGGAATTTGCAAATTGATGTGTAAATGTGAATATCAACTAATAAAAAATAGTAGCTTATGCATATTTACTATCAAAATGCAAATACCTCATTCTACACATATTACTCAAACATATATACACAGTATGTTTGTAGAAATGCCTGAAAGTCTCCTGATGAAATTATGATAGCCCATTTATGAAATTATAAACGGGCCTGGTGCCCCCAAAGCACAGAAATCAACCTTGTCGCTCTTTATCTCTCCATACAGTCATTGCTCTGGACCAGGCGATGAGCTATCAACCCTAAACTCTTCACATGTCCTCACCCTGAGTGGCAGACATTCCCTGCCTGATCTGCACACTTATGTCCCCTGCCACCCCCTCATGCCCTAACCCTACCCAGCCATTTCCACCTGTGTGCGGTACAAACCATGGAGTGTCCCATTGGCCTGAATCCAGAAAGCCCACTTTCGCTCCAGTCGTGGGACTTTGTTGGACTGAAACTCCCAGGACCTCGACAGTCTTCCCCAACCCCATCTACCATTCTTCGTTCCCATTGGCTGAAATACTCTTTATACAGTGGCTCACTGAATTTGTTTTTCATTATTAAATCCCACATTACTACTCATCTGATGTTAATTGCCTGTCTGACAAACGTACAATGGAAAATGAGACGGCCCTTTTAAATTTCTTTTGTAAATTCGCAGTCACCTATTTGTTTAAACCTCATCTCCGCGCCCCCCACCCCCGGCCCCCCACCCCCCCCCCCGGCCAAACAACAGCATAAACAACAAGAAAACCTTCCTGTGAAGTTTAAGTAATTTTCTCTAGTTAGAAAAATCCTGACGCCAAAATATATCTGCTTTAGAGGAGGGGATAAAAACAAGTTCTGGCAGTCTTTTTGTGCACATATATAACCTGGCTGTGGAATCACACTAACGGATCCTACTGCCATTTCACCCCATGTGCTCCCAACGTCTCCGAGGCTTCAGAGTTCGAAGGTTTAAACATGAAATAGAGGATCCCCTGTGGGTTCAGACTGGTTGAATTCAAGCAATTTCATTGGCTAGGAACATCTTTACATTTTAAATAAAAAGATTTCCCCCAGGAAAAAAAGTTTCTCATTTTTGGTAACATAATGACATCACCAAATATTCCTGCATCCGCTCCTGGAAAGACTCACCCTGAACCAGGGTTCCGTTTGGTCTTGGGTCAGATCAAAACACAATGCTTTCAACATAATAAAAACTAACAACAAAGAACCAGTTTTGAGTACATTATTGCCACCACTACCCCCACCCCCCAAATAAAATTTCAATCCTACCAACCGTGGCACAGACTACCGTCCCTTCCTCCAGTCCTCTACCCCCAACGCCCTTTTAATGATTCTATCCTGTCTTCTACCTAATAGCTCAGGAATGTCCGTTAGCTTTCAGTTTCCTCCCTGGACAACTTCAAACAGCCAGACGTTTGATTCTGTTTGTTCCAAATGAACATTCCAATACCTGTTAAACATGCAGACCTGTAATGAAAAACAAAGCTGAAGTGCCAAACGTTCAGGGACAAATCCAGGAAACAAATGTCACGGCAGTCAGGGGTCAGAGTCCTGCCTCAGGTAGCGCGAACAAGGTCTAGAGAGTGATATAAGATAGTGCATTTATGCTGTCTTTAAAGAACATGTGTACAAAATGTCACTCAATTGGAAATGGGCTGTCATAAACTTAATATAGCCTTACTATGAAAATTTGCAGCTGGAGCACTGCTTTTTCTTAATATGTATTATAATGAGGATGGTGTTAATAACAAAATGGCTTTATGGTCTGCTCACTACTAATTACGTGGCACTGAACATTTGCATGAACCTTTAGAGAAAAAAAAATTGGTGATGATTTGAAATGTCTTATCCACTAGTTCTAATGGCCGCAAAACTAGCCCGAAGCTCTCACTGAATTTTAACACCAATTCTTGTACTACAGAAAATGTAGGCCGATTAATCACTCCTGCCAAAAAGCTCGAAGACACAATCCGTCTTGCTGAACTAGTCATTGAGGTTCTCCAACAGAATGAGGAGCACCACGCGGAGGTGAGCGGGCCGGGCGGGAAGTTGTTTCTCTGGGTGTCCCTTAGCGGGAAAGTGCAGACCCCCATCCTCCCAGCAATTCAAACCAACGAGATGCCTTAACACACATGTTCTTTTAACTGGCCTTGCAAAGAGAAGGCGAGTGGAAGTTTTGCAAGGAGAAGCCCTTGGAAGGTCGTTTAAAACAAACAAAAAGTGGCTACATGTTATACATTTCAGCTTTAAGTTTTCAGATGTTTCTAACAACAAGCAAAAGAGGTGAGTGTATTTTAAAGATGACGTATTCCAGCAGCACAAGGTTATCGTCGGGAACACACACGATACTTTTTGGTCTTTTGTGGTTGTTGTTGTCGCCACCACTGTTGTTTTTATTTATTTTATTTGGTGTGTGGATCGCAGGCCATGTTTTTGAATTTATCTCTGTAACTTACTCCGCTCGCACGAGAGCCTTCACTGGTTAATCTCGGATGACCTAGGTTGCTAAATGCAGTGACGGAAGCAAATTATTCTGTGTTGTTCAACTTGTCGATTCTCCAACATACATCTGAATAAATGCAGCCTACTTTTTCTTTTTCTTTTACGAACCACTGTCAAAACGATCGTTTTGATAATAGCTGTAAACTAAGGGATTTCAAGGCTAACTAAATCCCAAAACTGCAAGGACTTCAACAACCCAACCCTTCCAAAAGAAAAAAGATCCCAAGATGCCATTATGGTCAAACTATTTTGTCACTTCCTGTTTCAGAAACCGAGATTTAAAATTGCTCTTAAAATAACCTTTTTGAAAATTGCACTAATTTTCGCTCTTCCTCTCCATTCAGTTCTGCAGCAAGAGGGGAACCAAGGCACTCCATAAAAGCAATTTCTCAAGCACTTAAAATGATCATTCCCATGATACAGGAAAATTGATAGTATAGTTACATAATATATAATACACCATAAATCCAATCGTCCCGACTAATGCCTGATTGCATATTTAAATTTCCTCCCTGTTTTTCTACTGTTCCACTCAATCATGGCTGATCGTGGCAGGGAAAAGAGGTATGTGACTAAGCCGAATGAGCCAGCCACCTGCTGTCATAGTCTGTGCATGCCCTTCCAAGTATCATGTCTTCTACTGGGATTTTTCCTGGGTGCTCCTGCTTCCTAACACTGACCCGAGGAATGTAACGGCAACTTCCAGTGGACTGCTTGTGAAATGGCCCTCCACGGCAGGGTAAATGTGGGGGTTCTCTTGTGCGTGCATGAAGCGAGTGATATACTTAACAACAAGTGCAGTTACATCCCGACACGCGCCTCCTACCTGCCTGGATCCTGTCCTTAGCCTGTCTTAGTTTCCTACGTCCGTCTGTACTTACCTTTACCACAGCAGTTGAGTACCGACTGTAGTAACCAGTAGCTAGCCAGAGTGATACTAATCTTCCTCTACAACTGTCTGTATGTGAATCATATATACAGTATTTATATATAGAGAGAGTGTCAAAGAATCATGATTCCCCCCAAAACCCTCCTAAGAACGGGGTGAAGACCCTTTGAGGCGAGTGTAACTAACTCCTACAAGCGGTGCCCAGCCGGGAATGAGAAGAAGGGCCAAATCAACCCCCTGCAAACCTGGAAACTAGGACCTACCTCCAGACATATAAAATTAAGTTGGGCTAGGATAATTTTTTTTTCGACTCCATCCTAGAGGACATCCTTTTCAGATTGGGGGCCTTGGGGGTTTAAGTGACGGTAAGTACGTTCTTTCTGGGTGTCCACCGAATCATTTCCAGAGCTCCGCAGGGGTTCTGGCCTGCCCTCCCCTGATTTGGATGTTGAGGCTTTTCCCATGATGCCAAACCAAATCCACACATTTCTAAAGACCTGGATACGAAGAGGATGGCTTTCCTCAGTCACAGCTGTGCCGCTGTCCTTTTAACTAAAAGAAGAACAAAAGTGACAGACATGCTTCATTTGTAATCACGTGATACTCTCAGGCTGCTACAGGCTAAGGAAGGATGAATATTTTCCTAAATTACTCAAAAGAGGTACCAAAGGGAAGCTGATATTACAAAGAAGACATTTTTGTTTGTTTTACTTTTCCAGACAAGCACTTTTCTCAGTAAGCGCTAATCATCATCTTAAACTGCCCTAATAACCATCATCATAAAAATATTTTAATCTTATGCATTGAAAAGGCATTCGGGGTAAGTAAATAGGGTAGGAATAAATCCAATTCTGTTTCCATTAGAAGTTAGACTGAAAACTTCAGCACACTTTGGAATTGGGAGACTTGATTCGGTTTTAGAGAGATGTACAGGATCGTTTCCTGAATTAGTAATTTCACCCAATCACAGAATTTCATGAATGGATCAAAAGTTGCCTATCTGCTAAGCACCGAGGCAACCTACCTCAGTGCTTTTTGGGAGAACAAGGAAACATAAGGCAGTCTTGACCTTCAAACAATACAGTGCATAGTGGCCAGGAGCTCGGGTTCTGTGTCAGAGAAGCTTGAGTTCGAATTCCAGCTTTACCTGCCCCTTGCTTTATGATCTCGACCGGGTTACGTAACCTCTCTTATCCTGTAAATGAGAGAGAATAATAGAATCTACCTCAGATGGTCGTTTGGGGATGGAAGTCCGCGTGAAGTAAAGTGTCTGGCGTGATGCCTGGCACGTAGTAAGTCCTCAGCAAAGCTTGGCTGTTGCGTTTTTGGGGACGAATTGCTAAGGAAGCCAAATATATTGAGTATGTGATCATGAAAAAGGACAAAACCTATGTGGAAAGTGTCAAGTGACAGGTACAGACAGAATATGTGGAAAGAAGAAGGGGCTCTTTTCAAGGTGGAAGCATCCAGAAAGGCACCGTTTGTTCGGAGCGTTCACTTACAGATTGCAATCACCTGGAAAGCCCTTAAAACTTACTGATGCCAGGGTGTCACCCCAGCTCGAGGAGTCAGAATCTCACGGGGAGGAGCTGAGTATTAGTAATTTGTAAAACTGCCCAGCTGATTTCAAAGTAGAGCTGGGTCGAGAGCCCCCTGGACTACAGCTAACGAAGTAGAATTTGCTCTGATATGTTTAAGACGAGGTTTGGCTGCCAAAAAGAATGAAGTATGAAGAATTTTTTTTTCTACTGACCAGTCCTCCTTGCATCTTCTCTGATCGCTCAGATACACTCAAGAAAATCACTAAACCCTGAGCATGGATCTCGGCCGTGGAGCCATGGCGTTTTGTGGCTCTACACAAACGAATGTGACAAGTAGACTTGCCTCCCTCACCAAAAAAAACCCAACAATCCTTAGAATCATTTTTAATTCCAGTACAAAGTAATTAAATACCCCAAGAGAAAACATTCTCATCAGCTGGAACTATGTCACACATACACGCATGCACGATACGGTGGTAGTTGTCACATTTATTTCTTAATCTCAGCTTAATTCTGCTCTGAGAGCTGAAGTTATTCCCACATGCACGCACACACATACACACGAATAATGCCTTCACGTATCATTACCCTCCCTTTCCAATCTCTCTCTATGTATACGTATGTATATGTATATATGTATTGTGGTACACGAAGGGGTACATATATACATGTAGTCTGTGTACAAAATAGACAATGTGCTCAGTGTGGTGGACTGTATTCCTAAAGCATACATCTTTGCCTTTAAATAATGAAATGAGCGGGTAAGTATTTAGAAGCCAAAGTACAACTCCTTATTATCTTTGGAAAAGATCTCCAAAGGCTTCGGATGCCCACAGACTTTGAGTTCAGTCGTGTACCAAAGTAGCATTCGCCTGTATGAACAAGCGTGAGATAAATATAGTTGTTAGGTTTTGTTTTGGTGGGGTTTTTTAATTTTCAAGCTTGCCTTGCCCAACCCAGTCACACGGATTCTGTTCATTTGATTGAAATTATGATAATGGCTTTTTGGTTGTGACTGCCCTTGCCAGAATCTTTTCTCCAGAACCTCCTGATGTGGTTCTGGAAGAATTACCTTGGGTGGACAGAAATAGATTTGGTCTTCATTTCTCCTACAGCTATTATATTTAAATGATCTTCACTTTAGAATCCGAAGTTTCTCTGCCAGACTTCAATAGTGATCATTCATATCATGGCAGTCATTGTTCTTTGTAGGGTTACCTATCTATATACCTATTCATGCAACAGCTATAGATAATTGCTCAATTTTATGAAATTCCAATGAGGGACTAGGCTCTCTATAGATAGAAGTGGGTGCTTATTTGGGCCTCTGGTTTGCAACGTCTCAATAAACCTAGTAAGAACCAGGCGTGAAGTTGGGCTAAGAAATTTGGAATTTCAGACATTTAGGATTGGTTTTTTGTTCTTTTTTTCTCTCTCTCTCTTTCTTTTTCTCCACCCCCCGCCCCCCCCCCCCGCCCCCGTCATCCGAGAGCAAAATCATATCTGAGTAGGCAACTCAGTCTTCCCAGTAACTGTTTACTTGGACTCACCCTGAAGCTATAAAGCTCATAAAATAACTAACGAGGAAGTATCAGCCAACATTTGGTGTGTCTTTGTGAAGTTTGCAAATCTCCTGCATCAGGATTAATGAGAGTCATCCCGCCATCTAGGGGTGGGGGTGGGAGTGGGACTCCAGCAAGTTCCAATATTTTCAAGGTCTCTGCCCAAAACACAGGTGGCTGGGAGAGCTCCGGGGGTGGGGCGGAGGATTTCTTCCTCTGCCAGATTTAGCCAGGTAGTCAGTGTGGAGCCAGCCCCACACCCCAGGGCCCTCGTGCCCAGGCAGGAAAACCACAATAAAACCTCATCGATTCAGACACAAATACTTGCGGCAATTCAACTGCAGATGTGGCTCTTTTCATTTTTCTGAAGTGGAATGTTTGACATGATCTCAACTTTCTCTGGAAATTCTAACGGCTCTTCTCACAAGTTTTATCCCAGGACCTCTGAAGTTAAAGCTTCTATCTCTTTGACTTCACTTTAAGCATCAGTGGGTCTATGGTTATTAGAAGTTTAAAAAAAACCTCTACATTTATGAGACACTTATATGGCAACCAGCGAACGCCTTTCACTTTCGTGCCCAAGTACTGACTGCGTTTGAAAGCAGTAAAATGATATCTCTTTTTAGAAAACCCCATAATGTAGGCTTTTTTGCTGACAGGCGAGCATCTCTCTTCTCTCCTTACTCTGAGTCGGTGAGGTTTTACTGTAAGTTAAAATGGAAACAGCAGGTGTCAATTTCCAGCCACGCTGACCTTGCAGAATGGTCCATGACTTGATTTTTTCCATTTAATTTGCAAACCAGCCACATGTTGATAAAGGAGAAGTAAGTAAAATGAAATCTCATGAAAGAAGAGAGGTGGACCCCTATTCTGCCTCCTAGTGGCTGTTAGAATATCCCCAAATAACTAATGAATCACAGAAGAGCTTGGCCATTGAGCAAACTCTTTTCATTTATGGAATTATTTCCATAATCATCTTTCATGTTTTCAAACGCCTTCCCATCATTTTTTTTTTGGTGAATGCTCCGGAAAGTGTTTCCAATGTAAATACTTTACGGCATTGGGTTGGGGGCTGGGGGACAAGACGGGCAGCCAATTTGCTTTTGTTTCTCTGCTCTCTTTGAAATCAGGAAAAAAAAAGGGGGGGGGCTGTTGACACCGCCACTCATTCTGCATGCTCCCTGCCAGAAATGATTAGTCAACATGCATGCATGCCTTTGAATGGCATTCACATCTGGCCTCGTCCGATGCGAATGTTGTCCCTGAGACCCTGCACAATGATTTCCAAGGACCCACGTGCATGAAAATGAGTTACTTCACTGATATTTTTTGGTTTTCAATGTACATATGTGTCCGACCCCCGGAAAAGTAAGTCCTGATCTTACTGAGTGCTTCCTAGCGTAAGCCTGATCTTCCCTACAGGCAGGATGCAAAACCAGAGGCTCCCTGCTGAAAGAGATTTTGACTTAAAAGTTTGGTGACAATTGCAACAATGGTTTCCTTTGCCTTGGTATGAAATAGGAGTGACATTACCGATGCATAGAGAAATAATGAGTTGCTGAGCTTGTATGAGACCGTAGACATTTAAGCCCAGATGTATAGATGTAAGTGAATAATAACTGCAAATTTTCAAGTTAGACCAGCAGAAAACCCATAAACACAGTGAAGAAACTCCCAAATTCGAATACCCTAGAGCAAGAGCTAGCCAACGGCAGTGACAAAGAGCATGACTCAAAACGTACTGGATTATTGTAAATTGAACAGAAGTTCCACGTCTGCCATTCCTCCGGCTGCGTCCTCTGACCAGCAGATCAGAATACGTTTGAAGGCAGGCCTGGAATTATGAAAAGCATTGCCTCGGGACACGTAAAAGCCCACTTGTCTGAAAAATGCTGTTCTTTTTACAATAAAGTCACCAAACCCTGCTGATGCACCATTAATCTTGACCAGTGAGGACTTGACTTCACATCTTCGGTGGGAGAGAAAAGCTCATCGCCTCTTTGTCTGTTGTTTTTCTGCCAAATTTCAAAGGCCTTTGCGTGGTGGTCAGACTTGATGGTGGAGCATGCGGAGACGTTCCTGTCACTCTTTGCAGTGGATATGGATGCGGCGTTAGAGGTGCAGCCCCCAGACACATGGGACAGTTTTCCACTGTTTCAGTTGCTGAATGATTTTCTCCGTACTGATTGTACGTATCGTCTTCGACTGGTTGACTTTCCTAAGTAGTGTGCAGATAAATAGATCAATAATAGGTAAATAAACAGATCAATGAGATGTCTCCTCTGTCCCAGGCAGAGTACAGGCTCGTGAACCCCCTTCATAGTTTTCTTATGACTTTAAAAACAACACAAGCTTACAGCTGATGGCCATTCTCGTTCTTCCAACAAATGTCCTGTTACAGGAAAGCCCTCTCTTCCCTAGGCAGGAGAACTCAAGAGCTGTGTGATAAGCGGGACCCATGCCTGTGTGTTTTATTTGCTTTTGAACAAGCTAATTAACTTAACCTCTTCACATTTTGAAATTTTTATTGAAAGATGTTTTCTAGATGAAAAACAATTTCCAGCTAAATAACACCCCAAGCGTTTCAGTACCTTACAGCAACACATAGCCATAAAATAAACCTTCCTTCCAAGAAGTGATGAAGGAGGGGAGGAGGACAGAATGCTCTTTCTTTCTGGGCATGTCACGGGAGGGAGGGGAGTGGGTGCAAGGAAAACCTGAAAACCAGTTGTCGATCATTGTTTTCACTGTGTTTTTAGAGTTAATTTAAAAAAAAAATTTTTTTAATGTTTATTTATTTTTGAAGGAGAGAGAAACAGAGTGTGAGTGGGGGAGGGGCAGAGAGAGAGGGAGACACAGAATCGGAAGCAGGCTCCTGGCTCTGAGCTGGCAGCACAGAGCCAGATGCGGGGCTCGAACCCACGAACTGTGAGATCATGACCTGAGCCGAAGTCGGTCGCTCAACCGACTGAGCCACCCAGGCGCCCCTGTGTTTTTAAAGGAGCGTGATTGCTTTCTCTTTTTAGAAGAACAAAACAAATGGGTGAAATATTTTTGAATTCCATTCTCCTCCCACACAGATTGAATCATGAGCTTCAGTGCCATTCATATACTTTTATTACCTCCCCCCTGCTTCTTTTTCACCTCCCCCAGAAACGGTATATTTAATATAAAAGACAATCCCTTCTGTATGTACATTGTATGCTTATAAACCAACTGTGGGTTCTTACCAAGCTTTTGCTTATCTGTTCTAGATAATTTGTGCAATGGAAAATTTCACAAACACCTGCAAGACCTGTTTGCCCCACTTGTGGTTAGATATGTGGATTTGATGGAGTCCTCAATTGCACAATCCATTCACAGGGGCTTTGAGCGGGAGTCATGGGAACCAGTCAAGTAAGGAAGCCTCTTTTGATATCATCGGAGTTTGGGTGCAAATGGCTGGACAGTCATACAGAAATGGATTAACGGTGTCACAGTTTTTATCGTTAGCAAGGACAGAGAGCAAACACTGTACATGTTTCTAACTGTGATGCTCACCCACAAGTGGGGGAGGGAGAAGGAGGTTGAGAAATGCTTTATGAAGTGAAATCTTTGTTTTATTGCACAAGATAAACAAGAAATAAGGGATAGAAACCTGGCTGTGATGTTAGTACTGTGTAGCTGACTCCAGTGGTGATACCCCTAGGAATTAACGTTTCCCACAGTGTGTTCCATAGGGGTCTAGCCAAGCAAACTCTTTCTATTAAAGGCCAGGTAGTGAATATTTAGGCTTTCCAAGGTGCATAATCTCTGTCACAACTCCTCGGCTCTACCCTTGTAGTGAAAAACCAAAACCAGACAAAAAGGCAAATGAACGAGTGTGGCTGTGTTCCCATAAAACTTTATTTTCAAAACCAGGAAACTGTCCTGTAGGCTACATTTTGCCATTTCCTGGTCTAGTCCTTGGAGATGCACTTTGAGAGAAGATTTCTCTGTAGCCAGATATGTTTAGGGAAGTCTATCTACCCCACTCATCCACCCCACACCTGTATCTCCTGGAGAAGCAGAAAGCACAGCAGCATATTTGAAAACTCTGAGAGCATGGTAATACAGACCCTTATTTAACTCTGTTTAACCTGGAGCTTCCTAAGTGTATTTGACCTCTTATTTTGTCAATGGGACATCGCTCCTGTAGGACCAATGACCGGAAATCCTGTAGGGTGTAAATTTGGCAATTTCCACAATTGCTTAGCAAATCTTAGATCCCACTGGAAATGTCTGGCAGAATCAGTGCCACCTGTGTCCCCAGCAAGAAGGAGGGCTGTGACTCAAGAATGCTGGAGGGTCAGTCTTAGGCTCCCCTTTCTAGAGAAGTAGAGGGCTGCTAGGTGTTGAGAATTTTCTGGTATGATTTGAAAAGCTCCAATAAAGCCTGGTATTAATTTTGCCCTGTCAGATTCCTTTTTGTTTTTTCTTTTCTGTAAGAAAAGCATTTTGTTCTTTCTAGTCCTTTCCATCTTTGAGAAGTAACAGTCAGTATAGAGCATCACGGGGGTAGGTACAGCACACTTTGAGGTACTTCAGAACAAATATCTAAAACATTTCCCTCAAGTTCAAGGACTTGACTTGTGCCCTGTCTCTACACAGTTTTCTGGATTAAGATTCTTCCTCTTCATATTACACTGCACGACTCTAACTGACAAAGAAATGAGTGCAAAATAGCTTTCTCAGCCACACATCACCCGCCCCCCTCCCCCACGTCTAAGCCACAGGAGAAGTTTCTTGACCTACCCTACTGAAAGCAAGTTAATAGGTAGTTGCTCTTCATTCGCAAGTACCAAGAAATCTAAATCTTGGCTTGTTATTCTCAGGCTTATAACCTTCTCTTAATATGGCCCTGCTGACTTCTAACGCAGGAGAGTTAAACTGGGTCCCTTAATGATCAAGCGTGAACGAGGGGCTGTATTTTTTTGTAAATGCTCATTATATTCAAGACACTTGTGCTGTGGAGAACAGCTGAGAAAAGGGAAAGGTTAAAATGAGTAATATTCACATTTTCAAAATAGTAATGGTCTTGAAATAGCTTGTACTTACTTGGGTTTAAATGTGGATGCTGTTACTACCAAACATGGGAGGAAATGATTGGTATCCGTCAGTATTTCTTCAAGGGCCCTGGGGTTAGGGCCTTGTCCTCCACTTACCAGCCAGAAGGCAAGACTTTGAAACTCTCTGAACTTCTCCTCTATAAAACTGACTTTTTTTTTTTAATTTTTTTTTTCAACGTTTATTTATTTTTGGGACAGAGAGAGACAGAGCATGAACGGGGGAGGGGCAGAGAGAGAGGGAGACAGAGAATCGGAAACAGGCTCCAGGCTCTGAGCCATCAGCCCAGAGCCTGACGCGGGGCTCGAACTCACGGACCGCGAGGTCGTGACCTGGCTGAAGTTGGACGCTTAACTGATTGCGCCACCCAGGCGCCCCAAAACTGACTTTTTAAAATGTCCCTACCCGGTATCTGAGAATTGTCATGAAGCTCTGGGAGAATGTCATTGACGTCATTTTATAATCTGTTAAATTCTTCAAGCAGATATCTGTTATTCCTCTTACAGCATTAAATATTCTCGATAACATAAGAAATAAAGGTAGAATCAAAATGACTTTCACAAATGGACGTGTTAGGGAGGGTTTTGTTGGGGATTTCTTTTGAATGATTAAAAGAATAAAATTTGAACTCTTGGATCAGTAATTTAAAGATCTGACCATTAGGGAAGCATGAATAGTTGTGAATAATAGCTTGGGAATGTTTTATGTAGATGTTTTTTTTTTTCTTCTCAAGTAGCATTTTGCGGGTCAAACTGTGCTCTTGGTTAGTGACCGTGATTGTGGTCTGTTCAATTCGTGGTAAATAGTACATGCCTTTTGGAGTATATGGACACATTTGGAAGTGCCAACTAAAACATACATGAAATTACAATTCTTTGAAACCACACACATTTTATTAGCTGATTTGTAAACAGAACGTGGGTGCTATGACAGATTTGCAGAAATGGCCGGCACAAAATGAAGGGTAAAAAGACCTTGGGACTTCCTTTTATGTGCTAACAATGAGTGTTTCTATACTTCCTATCACATGAAGAGAAAGTACAAACTCTTATCTGACCACTAGTGAAGAAGCAGAGATTCATTTTCCTTTTTGTATTTTTTTCCCAAGTAAAGAATGCTCTTTTTGGATGTTTATTATTATTATTATTATTATTATTATTATGCATACTCAAGAACAAGAAACTGACTTAGGTAAATAGATTCAGTTTGTACAACCTTCTCTAATCTTACCACATGTTCCTCCATTACACACACACACAGACGCGCGCGCACACACACACACACACACATACACACACAGACAATACATACACACAGCCTTTCCCTCAAATAATTGCTATATGCAAATAGCTCTGTTCTTCATTTTTCAAAAGTTGTGATTACAGGCACCTGATTATAGGTAAAATGACTGAGAAATGCATTGTAAAGCTTACTGCAAGAGAAACTAACATTCAAGTTATTAAAGAAAAACAGCACTCTGAAAAGAAAATACTACTGATATATTGAGTTTGCTAAAAACAGAAGTATTCTTTCTTCTTCAGATTTTCTTATTTCAAAATATAGACCTGCAAAATAAACCAGAAATATAATCCTTTGAGCTTGATACAACTGAAGCTACTTGATAAACATTGCCAAGTTCTAGTGCTGCTTTTCTCTAGAAAGATGGCCTTCCATCTCTGCAAGGGAGAATGGGTTGCTGCATCTCTGTGTCCCTTAAGCCAGATAACCGTCATGATCAGCATCTCAATGCATTTGTGGAAAATGTCATTGTACCGCTTCTATAACCACAACGGAAGGCCGTCAGCCTGTCAAGAATAGGCTCAAGCTAGAGCCCATAGCGCCCTCATGGGTGTCCATTAGGAAAGGTCATAGGGGTATTGCTGGGAAGGTTGTCCCCAACTCTCCCTGCAGCCCTGAATATGAGCTTTTGGCTCTCACTGACGTTGGGCAGCCTTTCTACCAGCTCTTCAGAGTTGGCTCCTTGTTAGTCAAGTCATTGTGGCCTTCGGCATGGAAGCAAACTTAGAAAGCAAGTAATCCGAAGCTCCCCAGGACTACTATGTACCCACTCCACACCACCTTTTCCTTGACAGATCATGTCTCAATCTCCACTTAAACACCTCCAGGTACAGGGAATCCACACTTCATGGTTACCCATTTCAGGTTAAAAGGGCTCTGAATGGTTGCTCTAGACACTATTTTTGACATATGCACACTGAAAAATCTGGGTTTCTCCTTTCTCAGAATGCACTCTACCTCTCTCTGCCTGAGATGTATATATGAAAGGTGTTTTTTAAATAACCTCATTTTCCAGATTGTCAAAGATATCAATATCTTAATGAACTGTCAGACCAAAGGCACCTTAGCGACATGTAGGTGACCTGGGATGAAATGCAAAAGTACTAGACTGAGAGGAGACTGAACTCCTGACTCTGCCATTAACTTGCTGGGTGACCTTGGGCAAGTCAGATGACTTTCCTGAGCCTCACTAGCCTCCTTTGTAAAACAAAGACTTTGAATACCCAAGACTTTTTCAAGCATTCTGGAAAATGTGATTTTCCATATTCACCCCATATCCACATTTGGTCACCAGCGCCTCCCTAGCACCTAGAACAGAGCCGGGGACACAGTAGGTGCTCAATAAATATTTATTGACTGACATTTATTAAGGAACTATACAGCCTGCAAATTACAAGGATACAATAGAGAAACTGTGGGGATGAGAAAGAGAGAAAGATATAATCCCCTGGTCTGGGATCTCAATTTAGCTGGGTCTGAGCAACATACACACAAGAAAAATGACTTTAAATATTTACCAATGTAGAAATAGCATAACAAAGTGTGATGAAAGCATGGAATAGAGGGGAACAAATCTCAACTGAGGAGTCACAAAGGGAATGGCTTGGAGAGTAAGATTTCCAGAGGGGTAAGTGCTGGGAAAGAGCATAAGCAAATGCAGAAATATGGCGGAAGTAGAAACGGTGAATGTTTGATTTGGGCCAGCATGGATTAGGAAGGAAGCAAGCTATAAGGTTGGAAAGTTGATTGGGAGGTTCTAAAATCCCATGAAGTTTAGAACTTTATTCTCTAGGTCATACTTTTCAAACAGGGGCTTCATAGCTCCCAGACTGGTAAAAATTGGTTCTTGGCAGGGAAGAGGGGCAAAAAAATTTTTACTCTTGTTATGTATATGTATAAAGCACAGGTCTACATACAGTTCATAAACAGATACACAGTACATTGGTGGTATGAAATTCTCACGGGGAAGGCAGTTGGGGGCCTGGTGGTGATAATGAATGAAAGGTTGGGAAACATCATTCTAAACTATAGGAAGGTATCAAAGAGTGCCCACATCCCAAGCCAGGGATTAGACCTAAGGATAATCATGGAGAAAGGCTTTAGTGTCCAGAGCACCAAAAGAAGACAAGATGTACTATGTAGATTCATGCAACAAATGGCTCATAAAGTGGAAGGCATTCTGAATCTCAAGTCTAACCCCATCCAGAAGTCTTTGAGAGAAGACCCAACCATATCCTCTCTGCATAGAGACACAGTCTTGATTAGAATTTATTCCAGAAGTAAGAGATGTCTCTACCTCTGGTTGTTCATCCATAGAAATGAGGCATGCACATTTGTGACATTTATCCATGTGAAAGAGAGAGAGCAGATGATATTTTTTTAATTCAGTGATCCAGGGACAGTCCCTTTGACCTGAATGGGAGCTACCCTTTTTTTTTTTTTAGCAGAATCCCTAAAATGAATGAGTCTAATTTTTTTCAAGGTTATTTTTTAGTAAATGCACCCAACACAGGGCTCAAACCCATGACCCTGAGATCAAGAGTTGCACACTCCTCCAACTGAGCCAGACAGATGCCCCAGAATGAGTCTCATTTTTGACATATATCAGTTGTTGTGATTACAATTCACACCTCTTATAGTATCCAGAGATGTCCCATTATGATTCTCACAGAGAGGCCTGTGATGGACTTGTTTTTAGGTAGTTACTAAAGGGCAATTTGTTATCCCCATCAGTGGCTCCTGGAGCCTGATCTGACCTGAGTGCTACTAGAAAATTCACCCTTTTCTCATGTATATTATGCTTGGAATTGCCTCTTTGACTATTAATACAAGTTATTAATATCCAAGTGAAATATTAGTAACATTAATACGACACTATATTATTTTGCTGAATGCAGAAATATCAAGCATGTTTCAGTCTTTTAAAAGTAGAGCATTCTAGTATGTCACATGAAGGAAATGTTTCTACGAGTCCAGTGCAGTAATCCAGCCAAAATGTCATATTTTACAAATACAATATGCTTTGATTAATATAAGTATTTTTCAAATTTGCATATGCAAAACAAAGTTCATTTCTAATTTGTGTACCCACCATCCGCTAATATGTTTAAATTAAGTTGCTTTTGCATACATCTGTATGTTATTCATTTCTAGCTACTTTTAATTTGCTTAGAATTGACATTTTAACTTGCCAGGCTGCCATCTCTAAAGATCTCCTAATTCCTTGATCATTATTCAGTGTGTGTATCATCTAATGATCACATTTGCTTATGTAGGCTTACACATGTCTTAATGGAAATCGCGAACAGTTTTGTAACATGGCAGTGTTTAAGTCTGAGAGCCACCAGGGACTGACTTCAGAGGCAGATTCTCCTGTGAAACAGAGAAGCATCAAGGAAGAAGTTCCACTGTTTCTTCTACCTAATAGTCATATTTAGCTACTCTTCTCTTGACCATTCCTAGAAGGGCACCCTTTCATTCCAAGTAAAGAAGCGAGTTAACTTTCCCAAAACGTGAAGTGCAGAGGACAAACCTATGAGACAAACCTGTTTCCCTTAAGGAAAAAAACGCTAGCTTGATATTTTGCATTCTAGGTTTTTCCATCCGGATTGCCATTGTGAAAGAGTAACTTGTTTCTAGAGGGAGGCAGATGTCCTGACTCTCCGTGGGGCCCAGGACTTCTGACTTATCAGGAGGCTTGCCCCCAGGCAGCCCCAACCCTTGCAAGGGTTCTGTTAGTCAAACACAGCTTGCCCAGGGCAGATCTGCTTTGGCAAAACTTGCTCTTCTGCAAGATCCAAAAAGAAACCCTCAACTCCTCTGCCAAAGTTCTGTCAACTCCACTTAAACAGGAAGGCTCCTCTCAGATGCAGAGTTAGGCTGGGCTCTACCGTGCCAGTGACTTTGGCTGGATGGAACACCCTTAAAATGCCACTACAGAGGCACACGGTGCCAGCTCGAAGAGCAGTAAATGCCACAGTCCCTCCGCAGAGATACGGTTGACTCGAGTTGGGGTTTTTGTTTTGTTTTATTTTCTCTCTTTATTCGTAAGGTCATCCGTCTCTCCTTCATCATGTCAGTTGATCAATCTCCGTTCAAAAAACAAGAAGCTGATGCAAGGTCACGTTTTTAACTCTCCATTAATTTTAACAGTTTGCAGAAAAACACACTGCTCGGTGAACTTTCACACACCGAACATGCCCCTATAATAATCACACAAAGAAACAGAACATCCCCAGTGCCCCCCCAAACCCTGCATTCTTTCTTCCAGTTTTTATCTCACTTCCAAGTGTGACCGCTCTAACACGAGGCCACATTTTTCTTTTTAGTTTTAGAGAGACAGAGAGTGAGTGGGGGAGAGGGGCAGAGAGAGAGAATCTCAAGCAGGCTTCATGCTCAGCATGGAGCACGCTGTGGGGCTCGATCCCATGAGCTTGGGATCATGACCTGAGCTGAATCAAGAGTCAGACGCTCAACCAACTGAGCCACCCAGGTGCCCCATGAGGCCACATTTCAAATCTACTTACGGTCCAAGAATTTTGAACTAGAGGTGAACTTTCTTTTCCTAGGTGTCTTTTTAGGTGTATAAACATTTCTCCATTTTAATTGGACTCAGTTTGGGAGAGCAAGTTTCTTTAAGTGTTTTGTACAGTGACTCAGAGCTAATCCTTCTTCTTGGTACAATCCCTTCGTCTTTGCTTTCAACTAGGACACCCCATGTTACATATACCTGTCTTCAGAAGTAACAGTTGGGAAGTATGCATTCAAGTGGGTCAATTTCCCATTCTGCCTTGGATCTAATATCTGACTTGAGAAATGTGCCTCCCTCAAAAATAATTTACGAATAAAAGTAAGAAAAGGAAAGTATGCCACCATTTGTATCGGTCTCAGTCACTTCCCCTGCAGCCCCCACCCCACCGATGCCAAGTATTCCATGCACTTCATGTCCTTAGTATCAGACAAGTTCTGGACTCTCACGGCAGTGCATTTGGGAACCAGAGCCCCCTCACAAAGGCATTTCTATAATGTGATCATTGTGTATAGGTGTCTGTGAGCTTTCACACTTTTAAGTCACTCTGTAGTTAATTTTTTTCCCATTAACTTTTGTCATTTCTCTCTGACTACTGAGCTGTACCACAACACCCCATCCGTGAGCTGTCTTCTGAAGTGTGTGGCCTGCGTTTCCCCTGTTGTCTTGCTGTGAACTTGGCCAATTTATTTACAACTGTCATGTGCTTCTGCCGCATCTGCATTGTCACTGTGATGGTATTTTTTTCTTTCTGTCTGTTTCTTCCACAGGAGTTTAACCAGTAACCTACCCAATGTGAACCTACCCAATGTGAACCTTCCCAAAGTACCAAATCTACCAGTTAACATCCCTCTAGGCATCCCACAAATGCCTACTTTTTCGGCACCGTCATGGATGGCTGCTATATATGATGCTGAGTGTGTATTCAGTTCACATTAGATCTAATTTAAATTTAAGTGATCTTGGCATGGATATGTATTGTTTATTTCTATACATCCTATATAACAGAGATGGAGATGGATAATTAGACATATTTTGCTGATCATACGGAGACAATATTGTTTATTTCTGGCACACAGCGTGTTTGTAAGACGTTTGCTATATATACAGCACTAACAATTTGTCTTACGCCCACTGAACGCTTGAGGACTACGTTTAACTTCCTGAATTCTTTTGCAAAAAGATTCTGCCCATGTTTTTTGTTGTTGTTGTTTTTCTTTTTTAAATTAGAGTGCCGTGACTTTGGGAGTTATCCGTTCAAAAATAGTCCAAGAAACCTCTCTGATGGGCTGGCCAGTCCTCTCTGGCCTGATCCAAATCTAAGAGGGAAGCACACTTACCTAGAAGCTGGGGTTTTCTTTAAATAAAAAATTCCTAGAGTCTGTTTAAACCGAAAAGCATATTTCGGGTGTCAGCAAATGGCAGGATATAGTAACAGTATGTTCAGGGCTAAATGAAAACTTCTGAATGGATCAAGCCTTAGTAATGTATATGTTATGTAAAGATACTTTCCAAGGTCAAAATACAATATGGAGCATTGGGATCTAGGTAGCAAGAAGCTATCTAAATTTGAGAATGCAAGAGTCGAAAAACAGATAATTAAATTTTTTGGTAGCTGTATCATCTGTGGTCTGAGGATAGGACCATTCTTTACATTCATCCATACAAATGCCAGGAACGCATGGGGTTTGTTGTTGTTGTTGTTGTTTTTGTCTTTTTTTTTTTTTTTTTTTTTTTGGAGGCCTAGCCACCCCTTTAAAGGCAGCAGCTCAGAGGGTCAAGGTTATGCAGCCACTTCTAGCTTGGCAAGTGGCTCTCTTTTTTTTCCCTTTGCAAGAAGAAGATCCAACGCCCCTAAATTCTATCTCAGGGAAATTAAAACCATGTGCATGATTTAATAAGTGAAATAGAGTTTAGTGATTCTATTCCGTCCTTTGATCCTTTTCTTAGACCACAGCTAATTATAGGCCAGATAAGCTTTTTCTTGAAAGAATAAATTGGCACATTTTCAAAGGGAAGTGTTAGTATCAAAGGAATAAAAAATGATCTGAAACTGGCAGTGATGTTTTGAAATGTCGAAATCACATTTATCAAGATGGCCCTCGGCATTCTTATTTTTGCAATAATCCAGGTAGAAACTGGATGTTCAATGACCGCTCTACTTGGCTGCTTCAGAGTTGCCTAACATTTTTAAAAACTATGTTCGTTCACAAGTTCACAATGCGATCATATATGGTCAATGTGTCTGATTCTCTTTTAACGATGAACTAAGACCTCCAAAAATTTATACCTGAAAAAAAAAATCTTCTACAAAAAGTAAATCATATTCATGCTAAGATGACTCTATCAAAAGTTAGATTAGGTAGTATCTGTTAAAAATTAAAACATAAATATCTGACAGCTTTTCTTACCTTCTTTTGTGCATGCTCCGTGGCATTGTTTCTGAAAAGATATGAATCAAGACATTGTAATAAAGCAGATAATGGTCTCCATTCAATTAATTAAGGCATGAGTGGGAACACATTTTGGTAACTGCTCAGCAATCAAAATAATCTTGGTGCTATTGCCTTAACATTAACAGTTTATCTTAAAAATAAAAAGAAAATATTCTTTTCCTCATGTCAAAACTTAATAATAAGCTCTTCAAAGAAAAAAAAAACCCAGAAGAATTTTTTGAAACTCTGAAACCAGATGGGTGTCAAAATGTTGTTGTAATAAATACCAATTATTGCATTCATATGTACTTAATGATTTAAAACATACAACCATGCAGTTCCAAAACGGGGTTTAGACTAGACCAAGTTGGGGTTTCTTTTTCCCAAGCATAGGATGGAGCAGGGGGAAGGCTGAACTTTCATGGAGAAACAATGCATTCCCCCACTTTTGAACAGTGCTTACGGCAGTATCTGAGTAGAAGGCGTAGATCCTCAATCGCTCACCAGGAAATGCCTGATTCTATATCTTTTCATAATTCCGGTTTCCTCCTTTGCCACCTTTCATTTTAAGGACGTGTTTCCATGTTACCTGCTCCTTCGTGTCAGATACATCTACATACTGACCTCAGACTGGTCTGTCCTTGGAAACATTACCCTGTTGGTCCAGGCCATAGGCTCCCTCTTGGCATGTTGGGAGTTTGCCCCCTCCCCACCCCACAGTAGCTGTGTATGCGTTTATGCACTAGCTATATTTCTCTCTGAAGCATTAATTCAATGCAGCTGGCATCTGTCACAATAGAAACACCCACTCTCATCTGTTTCTATAGACGATGTCAGAACAAGTGGTAATGCATGGTGTGTTGGACATTTTATAAATTACCGTGTTAGCATTAGTGGTATGCGAGGAAGGGGGGGTGGGTGGCCACCCCTCAGAGCTCCAAACGGGACTGTTACCAAAGAGAAAGCCAGCCAGAGAAGGGCAAGAGGGTGAGAGGCGGAGCACTTCCCATACACAGGCTTTCCGTGGATGCCCCAGGTAAAAGTTTCTTACACGTCATTGTACAGAAAGGAATCAAGACCAATTTCTCCATCTGTACAGGAGACTGGGTAAGGTGGTGCAACGGTAAAAGAGCTCAGGTCTCGAGCCCTAAAGCTTTGCCAATATCCCGTGTCCGCTCATCGCCCCCTCCCCCCACAACACCTCACCTCGTCCTGGGGCTGTCTATGCAACAGGCTGGTCGATGATAATTGGAATAATAGCCAAACTGAACAAGAATCTTGGACTCAAGGTATCCAGGTGTACTCGTCTTGATTTGAGTCACCCCAGTTTCTTTCCAGCTCTTCAAAAGAGAAAGCAGGTCCTCGCTCACCACTTTGTTAGCACTGTCCTTTTAAAACTGAAAGTCTTGTGCAATCTCCAAGAGACCTCCGCTCTGGAGGGGAGCTGGGGAAATGCATGAAACCCTGAATTTTAATAACTGCATGTTGCCATGTAGTTATTATCTGTTGAGACTTACTTCTCCCTCTGGTTCGTGGCCTTCATCTAAATCATCACATGTGTTAATGTGGTTATTAAAAGAAGGCTGATTTTTACCATACACCGTTCTCCTGGTCATGGTGGGGCAACACCTTTCCTCAGACTTCTCACTGGTCTGGAATGATTGGCCGAACAAAGCAGACTAAGTCATGTATGGTAAAACTCAAAATCTGCCGGTGGAGATTGCCCCCACCTCCACCGCCAACATGCGTCGTTTTGTATGTTGAAGCCACTGTTTGCCTTAAGCCTTCTAGCGCCTAGTCGTCTTTGTGTCAGCTTTTCCAGAACCCAAGGCCGGTGGGTGACTGTTGTTTTCTAATTTTTATCCTGCCAGTAATGGATCAGGCACTTCAGAAGATCTGTTCTGGAAACTCGATGCCCTTCAGACCTTCATTCGGGACTTGCACTGGCCCGAAGAAGAGTTTGGAAAGCACCTAGAACAACGGCTGAAGCTGATGGCAAGTGACATGATTGAATCTTGTGTCAAAAGGTAAGCCTAGTGGCTGGACGGGCTCTGCATGCCCTCTCCACTAACCTCTGACTCGGGGAGTGGTAGGCGGCCCCTCATTTGATTGGCCGAAATTTGGATTTTTGAGGGGAGAAGGCGATTGCTCGTCAAAGTCAGCCAGAGTGGTGGCCACCCAAGTCTAGCTCCTGTTCACCCGCCCCAAACCCATCTGTCCCAAACCCAACACAATATGGCAGCCAGTTTCTTCACTTAGCTCCCTGAGGGAAGGATCCATGTGTGTTCTTATTCTGCTCTGTATCCCTGGTATCTAGCGGCATCTGACACAAAGTATTTACTTAATAAATATTTGTTAAAGGTACAAGTGTATGTGGGAGGGGACAACTAGATGAAATAAAGAGAAGTACACGCCACTCTGGAGCCGCCATATCCAGTACAGGTAGTGGGAATCGAATGCCTTTTAAGAAACGTGAGCAAGACCTCAGCGACATCATTCGGTCTATATACATGAACTGAGCACTTACTGTGTGCCAACTCTTAGTTGTCCTGCCCCAGATCTAACTAGTTATCCATCAGGGGCCATTTTGATTTCCTACAAATTGCCTGTTCTGTCACTGCGGCATATAGGATTGAGGTGAGCATGCGGCACTTGAAGCTCCCAGGTAGAATGTTCTGAGAAAGTGAAGAGAAGAAAACGAGAACAACATGCATCCATTCAGCAAAAATTGTTTAGCTCCTCCTATCTGCCAGGCACCGTGCTACATTCTTGGCATACCATCGAAGAATAAGACACCACAGCCCGTCCCTCCTGGAGTATCTATATCTGTGTATCAGACACAGAGATGAAATGCCTCTGGTTTAACATCGTTATCATCACCCTGTCTGTCCCCAGACACACATCCAAGTTCCTTTTCCAGTTCATAATTGTTCCATTATTCTTCCTCCATTCAAAACAAAAAGGAGAGACCACAAGCAGCCTAGGCCACTCCAGATCTCCAGATGTTGTGTCGTTTGGCTGATGGATCAGTTGTGGGTGACGGGGGCTGGGTTTGTCTGGGAGTGATCTGAGTTTTATATCTTGGAGGAAGAAAAGAGAAGTAATAGCATCAAAACTGGGAACCACAAGGGCAAAAGAACAGCACGGTCCTAGGCACGTGAGCATCTCAGCAAGAATGAGAAAAGGAGCCACATGCTGTGGGGAGTCTGGACAGGTGTTTGATGGCACTTCTGGAAGCTTACAGTCCTGGCGACCCACATTTTGTGTTTTATTCTTGTCTTCGCACTCTTAGAACCAAAGGCAGACCTACTGTTCAAAACCAAGGTCAAAACGTTTCCTGGGAATTTCAAATTCTGCCATTTCCTACATGGCCTCTATCGGTTTTAGGAAGAGCAGTTCCTTTCGTGTGGCCAAAGCATTCCGCCAAAACCTTCTTGTGGGGCAGTTCCCCTGTGGTGAAAAATTCTCTCCTGATCTGTACTCAGGGCTACGGCACATTAGAATGAACACTTACCCGCGTCTGGTCTGTGCACACGATTGTACAGAAAGATGTGCGTGCCCTTCTGAGAAGCCAGTCTTTGGAGTAGGGTAGGGAGACCACAGGAAGACATGTGGATGTGAAAGATAGACAGTGACTCCCTTACTGCAAATCTCTGGGGAACAGCCACCCCAAGGAGTGTGGAGCACTCACAGGCAGGGAGTCTATCTGATTCTCTCTGAGCTCCTGGCCCCCCAGGTCCCAGCGTCACGTTTGGTACATAGCTGTGAAGTAACCTTTCGTTAACAAAAGTTAGTCAACTGCACCTGCACATCAGCGATGGATGCTTAAATTTCTGGATGTCCCTTCCAATTAAGGCCCCAGACAAAAGCAGACAACTGCAAATATAAGTGCAAATATCACCCCCCAACCTCCAGATGCAGAGGGTAAAATACGAAAAAGTCCTTGGATATTTGAAGACATAGAATCCACATGAGTAGAGCCTAGATCTTTGGCTTTCTTTCCTCTTTGGGACAGAATCGATGGCCCTCGTTCTAGAAGGACATCAACATAAGGACATGATTTCATACATGCAAATATGCGACATCCAAAAGTTTCAATCAGGCGCTCTTCATTTCCAAGTTTCTAAGAAGTTTAAATCATTCATTCGATGGGCGTGACAGAGCCTGCAGTCTAGTCTATATCAGATACCGTATTTCACCAACACATTGCCCCCTAACCCTGCCCTCAAGGAGAGTCATGTAGATTCAGTGACTGCGCCGTCCCTGGCACGTTGCTCTATGGAGCCCCGTAAGTCATATTAACTCTGCCTCTGGCTTCCCCCTTTGCACAGCCCCACCCTCCCAGGGCCGTGCACAGTTCTCCTGTGGAAACAGAAGCCGGTGACTTCCTTGTAAGGGAGCAATTTAGCCCTTCCCCTTCTCAAATTGGGCCGGAACTGGCATGCAGGCCTCAGATCAGCACAGGGACCTGTCCAGCTCAGTCCCCATCAGACATCCTTTTCACAAAACCAGAAAAGGATGTATTTTCAGCGTAGCTTAAAATGATCATCATGATTAGAAAGCTACTTCAGTGCACCGAGCCTTTAGGAGCCAAGATACATTTATCTTTAACATGATCATATAATATATAGGAGTGTTTTAAGGTTTTTTTTTTTTTTTAAGTTTTTTTTCTTAAGAACTAGGCTTCCAACCTTAGAAATTATACTTGGCTTCCCTGCATGCACTCAGGGTGTGTTAGCAAGCTGGCATCCTTTCCCGAGCTAACTAGCTGTGTGGTCCTCCTATGCACTGTTAGAAAACTGCTACAAATACCTCCTAAAGCAATGCTTTCCTGGTGGCTGCATGATCTCCAGAACCTGACCGTGAACAATACTGAAAAGACACATTGGACGAAAGGAGCTTTAATAAAACCACTTACTAGCCAGGCGCTTTTCTTTCAAGACGTGTGATGATGTGACCCACTTCTCTAAAACCTTTTACAATATAACTGGTCCCCTTTACAATGCTGATACCAAGGATTAAGTCTCACACCTGTATTACCAGCTGGCCACGGCAGACTAGGTTTTTCCTGTGAGCAGTAAGCACATTGCTGGGATCAGAATTTGACCTATGTCAAAATTATGTCACTCTAAGCTTTTACCATTACACAACTATTGAATTGGTAAGTATATTATGCCATTTTCACTTGTAAAAAATATATACTCATACTGCAGAATAATAGACATTGCAAACAAATATACTGGAAGTCCCCTGATATCACTCCTTCTAATTGAACTTTCCTCCCCAAAGTTACCCATCTTATTTTTTTAGTCCTTAAAGCTATATAATAATTGGATTTTTTTTTTTTTTTACTTTGGTCTCTTTCAAAACCAAAAGAAAAAAAAAAAAAAAACACCAAATGTCATTTAAGATTTTTCCCCCACCATGAGATTTTGAAGATTAGAAGCTGCTTTTTTGTTTTTTGTTTTTTTAATGAAGTGATTCAAGGTAGGCAGTTGCCAATGTGAGAGAAGTTACATATGCTATAATGCTATAATTGGGTTTTTGTTCATTCATTCATTCTCCTGCAATTAGGGTTCTCCATAGCATGTAAACTATAGACAGAAATACCCTGAGCTACAGGTGTTCCGTGTTCTGCCGAGAAAGGAAGGGTTTACGTGGCTGTCTGCGTGAATAGGGCTTCCTTAGTTGGGAAAGTCATTTTTAAAAGAACACATGTGAAGTCATTGTCGACTGAAACTGATTACAGCCTTCAATTTTCTTTTTCACTGACCTCTCAGAAAATGTCTCCTCCACCTGCCGCCACGAATGCTGAATTGGTCTTTTCCTACTTTGTTTTAATAGAACCAGGATTGCATTTGAAGTTAAGCTGCAAAAAACCAGTCGATCAACAGATTTTCGAGTCCCACAGTCAATATGCACCATGTTTAATGTTATGGTTGATGCCAAAGCTCAATCAACAAAACTTTGCAGCATGGAAATGGGCCAAGAGGTAAAAAAAAAAAAAAAAAAAAAAAAAAATACACATTTTCCCCCCTCCATTGATCATGTAAAAGAAAACTTCACAAGTTCCTTCCATCTATACCAGTGTGCTAGTTTCAGAAATATTCTCTAACATTTGCGGTTAAGCTACAGATGAATGTGTGGTATCTGTTTGTTAAGTCAATTTCTAAGGCACGTGCTAATAAGAATGCCAGTCACTTGGAAGTGATTCTTGGCTGGAGTTGGAGTGGCCGTAAAGTTCCTTTAAGTCACATGATGTGGGATGACCTTATTTATTAAGCTGGTATCTCCAATAGATCTGTTTGCCAGAGTGTAAGTCATTTTCACATTTGAAGTGCATTTTATCACTTGGAACATCTGGTCAGCAGGAGAGCTCGCTTCCTTGCATCAAGCAACTTCCAGGATATATAATGTTATTTCACCCTGCTACCCCAACCCCAGCCAGCAGGTTCTGAATTTTTAAGACATGACAGACTTTCCAGTTTCCTTAGATTGAGCTGATTGTGACCAAAAGGTTAGTCCTTGCTAAGTTTCCAATTCCAAAGTGGTATTTAAAATGTAAAGGAGAAAGAAGCAGCAACTTGGGCTTGATTAAAGACTATCATGATCATTTTTCTCCGATGGCCTCAAGCCAGCTAGATATTCATATACCAATTTAGAATTAATTCAGAAACATTTCTGGCAACTCTCGTGTTGTTGCCAATTGGCATAAATTGCTCCTAAATCAGATCTTTCGATACCAGCCTTACATGCTCAGAATTCTTACTAAATTATATTTGCTCCTTATTCGTTATTTATTTTCTCTTTCGGCACCTTCCATTTTTAAACGTGGGTTGGTGATATTCTCTTCCTGGCAAAATCATCTCCAACCTTCTTTCCCTACAAATCAGCTTCCTTAGCCACCCCTGTTAACTTTTGCTCCCAACTTACTTCCTTTTGAGGGACATTTCCTTGGGGGTTATGTTCTAGGCACTGGGGGCAAATGCAGTGGTTCTCAAAATTTCAGTGGGCATCAGACTCATTGAGAGAGCTTCTTAAAACCCAGTGGTTGGGTCTCACCCCAAGAGTTTCTGGTAGGTCTGGGGTGTGACCCAAGAATTTGCATTTCTAACCAATTCCCCAGTGATGCTGATGCTGCTGGCTGGTCTGGAGACCACAGTTTGAGAATCGTTGGTCTGGAGGCTTGGATCCAAGAAGGAGTTAAGATTAGGGGCCACACGTGAAGGACAGCCTCCTGAGGAAGGCTTGGGTTAGGCTCGTTAAGTCACTCAGCCTGTCTGAACTTCAGTTTTCTCATCTGTAAAATGATGGCCCTATTCTAATTTATTTCAGGCTATTTTGAGCTGCAGAATCGGTTCTTCAAACCTTACCAAAAAAGCCAGCATGTGAAACAAATAAGATTAGAGCTGCTCTGGATAAAGCAGAGGGCAGGGGGTCAAAGAAGAGGGTCCTCGTGCTCAAACTACCAGGTTCCTTTCCACCTCTGCATTTCTTTGCTGCCCACCTGAATTCTCTTAGGCTTCACGGATCCCACTTGAAAAATCCTGCTTTTGGTGATTTCTCATGTTCATTCAGATCCCTTTGAGTTCAAATTTTCCAAAATTCTGTCCCTCATGAATTTTTCTCCCCTTGAGCTCCTTTTCTGAAAATTGAGATGTAATTCACATGCCATACATTTCAGCCTTTTAAAGTATACAAGTCAATTCACAAAGCTATGCAACCATAACAACTATCAGTTTTAGGACTCTTCCTTCACCCTAAAAAGACACCTGACTTATTAATAATAGTTGCCCAACCCTCCCTCCCCAGCCCTGGGTAACCACCACTCTACTTTCTGTCTCTAAGACTTGCCTATTCTGAACATTTCATATAAATGGAATCTCATGTGGCCTTTTGTGACTGGTTTCTTTCGTAGGACATTGTATTTTCAAGACTCATGTTGTTGCAGGCATCAGCGCTTTGTTCCTTTTTATACTGAATAATGTTTTATTACTTGGTTATGCCACATCATATTTACCAATTCATCAGTTGATAGACTTTTGAGTTGTTTCTACTTTTTAGCTACTATGAGTAACACTGCCATGAACATTCAATGTACAAGTTTTCGTGTGGACCTATGATTTGAATTGTCTTGAATATCTACCTAGAATTGAGATTCCTGGGTCATGTGGTCTGTCTTATTATAGCCATTCTAGTGTGTGTGCAGTGGTATCTCACTGTGGTTTTGATTTGCAGTGATGTTGGTCATACTTTTATGTGCCTACTGACCGTTTGTGTATCTTCTTTGAAGAAATATCTATTCAAATCCTTTTGCCCATTTAAAAAATTAAATTCTTTTTATTGTTTAGTTGTTAGAGTTCTTTATGTATTGTGGACGCTAGACCATTATCATACATAGGATTTGCAACTCTTTTCTCTGGTTCTGCCAATTGCCTTTTTCACATTCTTGGTAGTATCCTTTAAAACACAGTAGTTTTTGTTTTGTTTTGTTTTAAGTTTGATGGAGTCCCATTTATCTCTTTCCCCTTGGAGCTTCCTGAGATGTCCATTTCAACTGAGTTTCACAAGGATGACACCATTCCAGGATGAGAAGGGTTGTTGCACTAGATTGGCCTCCTTTTCCCTCAGCAGCTCTTATGACTTCAGATCAACTCAGTTGTGGCCACATGTAAAGAACTCCACATACCTGGCCAGATGCTAAGTAATCCTTCCAAATAAGCCAAGTCACTCTGAGCTTTTCTCCTTTTTTTTTTTTTTTTTTTGAACTGGGGCTTGGGGACAGTAGTGTATGTTGGAGGGCAGGGGTTATTGTCACAGGCTCCACTGAAAATTTGATGAAATTTATGGAACCAATTCCCAGGGGAAAAAATACTTTCACACAATTTCACATTTCAGGGGGCATGATGACCTTGTTAGGTCTAACTGTAGACCCCAGTTGGAGATATATGATAAAAAATAGCAAGTAGGTTTTGTCACAAAGGGACCCTGTTCTTACCATTCCCACGAATCACTTCTGTGCTACAGTAAAATGACCTTGGCTTAACCTTGGAGTTTTGGTTTTCTTGAAGAACAAGTTGTCCAGTGGCTTAATAAGTACATCTTATGGGTGCTATACGTTAGCTGCCAAACTCGGTGACCTTGATCAAGTCCCTTACTGTTACAACCTAACTGTCATCATTTATCAAATGAAAGATATAGCATGCAACCCACAGCCTTTGAGAGATATGTAGCTCGTAAAAGCTGGGGATAAAGCTCCCTAATTTCTGGATGTCAGATTAGAATGTTGTCTGGGATATGCTCAAATAGTAACATTTTTGAGGTTAAACAGCAGTACCTACTTCTTCCGGGATAGTATTCTATTTGATAAAGTAGAAAACACATCATGTATCCCTTTCAACCAATTCAACATTCTTTTTTTATGAAAACAATAACTGAGGCTGGTTAACACTTCCTATTTTTTCTGAACCCCTACATCCCCCTCCAAGACCAAATGATCTTTATTAAGGGCTCATCCAATACTGCATTCTAGTCTCTGGCTCTTATCGTAAGACTCAGTTTCCCAGACCATTCTAGAGAGAACTGCTATGCCATTTCTCCTTAGTATAATTGAATCAGAGACACCTAAGTGACCAGCTCATGGGACTAGAGGGCTCTGCTGACCTTAGAATACCAAATGACCGAGAATAGTCTGAACGAAGCCAGATACAATTTTCAGTATATCTATACTTCCTCTGAGGGACCTTGCCTGTGACCTTGAGTAGAAGAACTTCAATGGGAAGTCTCATGCAAATAGCCTCTCCTTAATTTTTCTCGCTTTGCAGGATTGGGATATTCATCTCCAAAGTCACCGGAATTATAAAAATGAGATTGGCCAAAGATGACTGGAAATTGGGAGAACAGACAGAAAGTTCAATGTTTTTGTGTAGTTTTCGCTTTGTGAGTTTGGGATATTAAGCTCACATTCCAGATCTAGTTATAATACCTGCTTCCACCTGGATTCCAACTCCCTCAAAGTGTTTTAGACTAGTGACTTGGCCAGGTGATACGGTATCCTCCAATTTTAAGATCACTTCCTTAATTTCATCACCAGGGTAAAGTCTCATCTAAAAACAGCTGTTGAAGCATTTGTTAACCATACTTTTCCATCTTAAATATTTATTTTTTCATTAAAATTTTCAAAGCACCAGTAGAAAGGAAATTGTGTATTAAATAGTTTGTCACTTGGTCTAGTGTGTTTTCATCTCATTTCCAAGGTCAGATGGTCTTAACAGAAAGACAACATACACACAATCTGTTCCATGACAAGGCAAAATGTGCAGTACAGGAAGTCAAGTGGAATGATTTTTACAAAGTGATTGTGAATTTGCAGCAGCCTAGCTCATCAGAAGCAGAAGTGAACTCCAAACTTTCCATACCATTGAAGATTAGCGTTTCCCTTGGTATTATCATGATCTAGTGCCCCAGAATATAACTTATGGGTATTATCATTATTATTATTACTAGGGTAAAGCCAATCCAATGATGCCGGGAGAGGGAACTGGAAAATGCAAAAATAGGAAGGATCCCTCTTTGTACCCATATTGGGATGCAGACTTCAAGAGACTTTGTGGCAAGATAATCTTATTGTGGGGATGGTAATTAGAAGATGCCCCAGTGGTATTTATTCCCCTTCACGGAGCTTCACATCTGCGTGGAACAGATAATCTCCCCAGAAAGAGCGGAATGAAGTGCTCACTATTGCCCTGGAAAAGCTGGTTAATCAATAAGTTTGGGGAGAATTTGGTAAAAACAAATGCGTGCATTTTGTACTTACTTGTCTAAAAATGGGGACTGCTTTGATATCCAGCCCTTTAGTGCATGTTAAGCAGAGCGGATATGACCCTGGTGGACTATCTTTCCCAAACTAAGTTTTGTTTATTTATCAAAACAACCTTTTCATAACGGGGGGGCGGGGGGGAGGGACGTAGACAGGAGTAACGATAACAGTATTTGTCCAGAGTGAAAGGGAGAGACAGTGGAATTCTCTGCAGGGAGGTCAGGGCAGGTTTGTCATGGAAAAATTGAAGGCGGGAGGAGGTTCCAAACACCCACCATGTCTCCATATACTTTAGTGTGGATTCCTTCGAGAATGAAAAGGTTTGAGGTTCCCCCACCTGTGAAGAGAAAGCATATTTGCTTTTCAAGAAAAAAAAATGGCATTACTAACACCTCAGACCATGAGCCTGTATCTCTCCCGGTACATGGATAATGACTACAATGGTCTCTGCTCACCATGTCAGCCAAGCGTTCCAAGAGAACGTTTCTATTCTCAGTGATGTTCTTTGCTGGGTTAGAAGCCCCCCGCTTCACATTTCAGATTGTATTATTTTGCCTACAACTTGCTTTTCTGAGTTAGTTAAGTCTCATAATTAATCAACGTGGATCATTTATAGTAATCCAAAGAAAATCAAGCAGAGTGAGACAGTCACATGAGGAGGAAAGTAAGCATGTGATACTGGATCTTATCTCAAGACCTAAAAATGAATTTGGAGCCCTGTCAATATTCCTGAATTCTTTTGCTCTGACATCTTTCTTTGTGTTTCTAGCACAGAATTCTGCAGATAGTTTTTTGCATTCAGCTTCAGGTTTATGCCACTTACTAGTAAATCCCTTCATGAAGCTAGCGGGAGAGCCAGCGTGGGTCCTGATTTCATCAGGGCTGTGCAACATGGACCCTTTTTGCTTTATTGTTTTTCCTCTAATCAACTGAAAGGGAATGAAAATGAGAGAGTTGAGCAGTAAGGACCATATCTCCCTACCCTTGGCCTCTACTTTATGAAATTGAACAAATAGTATTGGAGTTGCAATTATGGTTGCAACATGTTTTCACAGCTTAGACCCTCACTTGACCTTCAAAATAGATCTCTGAGGGGCACCTTGGTGGCTCTGTCGGTTGAGCATCTGACTTCAGCCTAGGTCTCACTGTCCCGATCTCACTGTCCCGAGTTCAAGCCCCAAGTCGGACTCTGTGCTATCAGCACAGAGCCTGGAGCCTGTTTCTGATTCTGTGTCTTCCTCTCCGTATCTGCCACTCTCCCATTCATGCTCGCTCTCTCTCTCTCTCTCTCTCTCTCTTTCTCTCTCTCTCACACACACACACACACACAAATAAATAAACATTTAAAAAATAGATCTCTGAATCTGAGAGCAGAACTGCCAGGAAATGGTTTTTAAATAATAATAATAATAAATAATAAATAAAAGAACAGACCTGCTAAATATCTTTAAACAGGGTTTGCTTCATTCTCTTTCCAAGATCAGTGTTTGTACTTGGTTCTCCTTCTACCCCCCACATTGGTTGTGACCAGTTAGTGGTATTAATCTGTTCTTTTACAGATGAGGAAACTGAACTACATTTTCTTAGGCTACATGATTTCCCAACTTTGCACTGGGACTTTATCTAGGTCTTCCAATTACAAACAAAATTCCCCTGTGACTTTTAATGAACTAACTGAATTCATATCCCTTCACTCACTTTCATTAATTCTGATTGCCAGTTATCAGAATATCAGACCACGTTCCCGTGGCTTATTATTTCTGTATGTTTTCATAGCTTTTTGAATGGTTTGCTTAATTTTCGTTTTCTCATGTGTCCTTTTGTCCTAATCTTTATTTGCACTGTTCCTTTTTTTTTCTATTCCTAATTAATCATCCTTCTGAAAGTTTGCTAAAGAGTGGGTAAGTGCATTTTCCTTTCCAAATAGCAGTGCTTTGCATTGTTATTTTTTATTAAGGAATATGGAATAATTCGAATGGATACTAAAATGATCTAATAAATGTCAAGGAACTGGCATACAGTATTTTCTGTTGAAATCGCTTTTCCTTTTTTCCTGGCATTTACAGCAGATTTTTGTTTGTGTGGGGGTTTGTTTTCACATTACTATTTAAATTTAATCGACAGCGGCCGTTAAAGAAATTGAAAAACTTAACAGGAGTCTTAGCAGAGGCTCTAAACCTGGATCTCTGTATCCATGGATGGAGAAAATGAGTGGCTGTTGCAAGGGCTCAGAAAAAAAAAAAAAACCAAACAAACAAAAAACAAAAAACAAAAAAAACGTTGCCTCCACACTGCGTCAATATCTAGAGAACCAGTGGGCTCTGAGGCGTTAACCCCAAGTATCAGAGGGTTTTAGAACAGTTTTTGTGAAATCCATCACAGTGTCTTGGTCAAATTCTGAGTCACATCCCCTGGCAGTTTTCCAAAGATAACTTTTCATCCCCTGTATTAAATTGTTGTGCTATCTTATTTTGTAAGTTCCAGATCAATACACCGCTAGGCCATGAAGCCATTCCATGCGTGCTGTTTGTAATCGTGTGTATGTATCTACACATATCAAAGCCATCCAAAGCCTTGGGTGAGCAGCCATGTGGCTGGTAATTTTTTTTAAGAGCTTCAGATCTCTCTTCATCAAAGACCTGGAGTCACAATCTTACGGCTGCGTCTGGGACTATGGAAATGAACTGGGTCTACGGGCCAGGCTTGCTTTATAAATTGTGTTGTCTAAAAATTACTGACGGATGCAATGCCCTCACCTCCCAAACATGCTAATATTTGTCTTTCTGTGTTCCTCAGCATCAATACCATTCAAAAATAGATGAACTAATTGAAGAAGCTGTTAAAGAAATGATAACCCTCTTGGTTGCAAAGGTAACCTTCAGCTTCAGGTGAAATGTTTCATTGCGAACATTGCTTTGTTAGATCTGCATTCCCGTTAAAATGTAACACGTTAAAAAGTTCAGCTGGATACTTGTATTTCTCAGGAAACAAGATCGTACATCACCCAGGCTCAAGTCAGAATGATTTTTTTCTGATGATGGCGAGCCGCGTGAAGATGAATTGATGAAGTGGCGTGTGTTAACTTAATAAGAAATTGTCCCCCGACCAGGTTATAGGAAAAGCGTTTGTTTTGCTTTTCAGCGCTGACAAAGTTAGATTTTAAATACAGAAAGTTAAACGGTAATAAGGAATTCTGCCATCCTGAAAACCTCCTTTTCCCTCGTTTCTCATGCAGTGAGAGTCATAATAAAACATAAAAGTCAGATAAAGCTATTTCAGTCACCCTCATGAATTATAGAATTTTAACTAAGTAATGCTGAATGGGAAGACATTTATATTTGCCAGTGCTAAACTTCTGTTTCCCCCAAATTACTGATAAAATACAAATAAAAATAGATTGGATTAAATGTAGTGCTAATATGTAACGTAAAAAACTGCTTTGCGCAGTTTTGGATTTTGAAAAGTGCATTTAATATTATCGCATGCTGTATGCAACTCAATAATATTTTGTCACTTTGTACTTCTGTAACACTCTGTATTTGCAATCACATAATAATGAAGAGAAAGCCGGATAAGTCAAATATTTCTCTGTGAAAGCAATCTATTCCTCTCCCCGAAAGCGGGAATCAAATAATATTTTAGAACGCAAAAGCAAGTGAGGTCACTGCTAGTCTCTGGCTGGTTGGGAATGTTGCTCCTTAGTGTGAACAGTTAGAGTTTGAAATAATATATATATATATCTATTTTTTTTTTTTTTTTGCTGTTTTACTAGTTCGTTACTATCTTGGAAGGAGTACTGGCAAAATTATCCAGATATGACGAAGGGACTTTGTTTTCTTCTTTTTTGTCATTTACCGTAAGTAAAGAGCTTCTTCCTTGCCTGGTTTTTGTTTTAGTGTGGGTTTGGGTTTTGGTTTAGGGGAGGGGTGCCAATGTGTCATTTTGGTGTTGGTTTGTGTGTGCATGTGAATTAAGGTCAGCTACCAATATAACATGACAATAAGCAGGACCTTTCATAACCGCAGGTAATCCAAAATCATTTCTTTCACTTGAGAATGCACAATATGTATGTTATGTATATGCATGTACACACACATACACATACGTCTCCATATGTATACACCCAAAAGAGAGTTGCTGGCCCGAGCCCGTGTTAGTTATCTCAGGAAAATCACTTAATGTTTCTGGGTCACCACTTGCCCGTCTGTAAAATTTAAACGTTGCAAATAGAGACCTACAGGTCAGACAGAGCTTTCGAATACGTTTTCTTTGGTCCTCACTGGGTCAGGTACACTTTTCCTAACTGAATTAGTTGCCTATATTTACAACGCGGGAGGATTCACGGAGATGTCCATATTCCAGGCTTTCTTTATAAACTTAAAAGGGACACTTAAGAGCTCTGAGCATCTCAGACCAGTGGTCTGCTGGTCACCATGGGCCCCATTGACCAGACGGTCATTTGCCAGTTTCCCGTAGCACCTGGCTGTTTCGGTCATTCGTGTACCTGCCTGGGCTTGGGAACACTGGAGTCTACAACCTCTGAAGCACATGACTGGGTCCGTACAGGTTGTGAGGGGCTCTAATTCTGCGCCAGGATCGGGCATGGGCATAGAAGTGAGTTTGGCTGTGGGCGGAAGCCAGCCTCATTCTCTGCAGGTCAATGACCGATGGAGATGGTCACCGTAAAGGGGCTGCTTTGGGGGCCTTGTTCTCCCACCTTCTGTGCTCGGTGGCGATGACAACTGTATCTTTTCTTGACGTTTCTGATAGCTGGGTTTTTGCTCGCTCTGAGGCCAGGTGTTTTCCTCTGACGTAAGAAAGGCAATCAACTTAAGACCTACTATCCCTGCGTCTTTAAAACAGCATTAATGTATGAAGAATCTCCTAGAAAGGCATTGAATGCCAAGACGAGGCCCAGCACGGGGTAGGAGGTAGCATATCATCATCATCATCTTTGGGATCTGGCAGAACCGGCTTCAAATCCTGTTGCCAGGATTAACCAGCTATGTGATCTTGAGTAGCTGCCTCATCCTCTCCGAGTCTCAGTTGTGCTTTGGGTTTGCTTTTGGCCTTGGGGAGGGGCGCTATTATATAATTTTGGTTTTGGTGTTGGCATATGTGTGTTAATTATGGCCAACTACCATGATGTATGGGAGTGAGGAGTGGATAACATCTGCTGGGATGAGCTGTTGGGGAGATAATAATGTAAGTGAAGAGTCTAGCAGAGTCCTAGCACGAAGTAAGTTCTCAACAAATGGAGGCTACTTTTAATAAAAGATGATAAAACATGATTATTATACAGTGCAAACAACCATGCACACAAGTTCTTCCTAAATATGCCTTACATTGGTATTTCCCGCGCATTAGATTTTCTGGGAATTAAGGGACAGGTAGACAGAAGACATTTAAAACAATTCTAGATAGTATCCATGTATCCATATATCCAGGATATTTTCCTTAGCAGCTCTCAACTTCCCCACGTGTAAGGAATGAACTCAACCCCAGAAGTGTGGTGGCCCCAGTTCCCAGAATCTAGTGGTAACGGTGGGGCGGGCCAGAGGATGGTGACAACAGGAAATCTACCCAATATCACTCCGTAGAACCACCCACAATGTGTCACAGCTGAAAGGAAACCAATCCGGCCACTCCTTTGACAAACAACAAACAACAGCAGCAATAAAAACAAGGCCCAGAGAGGGCAAGTGATTTGTCTAAGGTCACACAGCAATGGGCAGAGTGGAGACAGGGATCCAGGTCTTCTGCCAGCTCCCCCCGCGCCCCCCCCACCCCCCACCATTGAAGAACTTCCTGGGGAAAGTGGGATTCAGCTGGCAGTTGCCTTAGCACTGGAAGGCAGATGGGCAGATGAGTGGGAAATATTCGATAATCTTTCATCCCTCAGTGAAGTCATGGAAATGGTGGAAAGAGGCAGAATTCTTCTGGAAAACATTCCCCTGACACCCACAAAAGCTTCCACTTTCTTTGAGTCTTCATTTCGAGCAAGTGTTTTTACCGCCCTGGACTCGAACCAGTGCAAACCGGGAAAGCCCCTCTGCTCTTCACGGAGCAGAACTCAGCCCATCCGTTAGGCCCCACCCTAATGACTGACTTACCCAGAGAACTAGCGGAAGGTGGTCCATGGCAGCCGTGCGGGACGGGGTACCAGGGGGAGTCTCACGAGAGGGTGAGACACAAAGAAGGCCTAGCATATCCTCTGAGGAGTTTTCAAGCTGAAATTCTCATGCTCTCCTCTCCCTCTTCGGAGACATTTTGCAGCCTCGCAGCATGCCTAGTGAAGTCCCCGTAACTGCAGAACACTTGGGTGCCTGTTGCTGGGCCTGTGACTTCCCTTCCTTAGTGACACTTCTCCCACACACTTGGCCGTCCCACGGCCAAAAGCACCCACTTATCATTTGCAGCCTCTGTTCTCATCTCCTGCTGGTATTCCAGCGTTGGAGAACACGAGCTGTGCTCAGAAGTGGCAGGAATATCCATCTGCACACGTGGATGCTGAGCTCCTGCCCAAATTTCAAGGGGCCTTTGAAGACTTCCTGCGGCCCAGTTGTGTGACTCACGCCAGAGTGGAGTGGAGGGGAAGGGAAAGAGCTGAGCAGGGGCAGCAGGCGTCGTGGGAAGAGCCTGGGAACCAACGATGAGAGAGCCAGCTGTGAGTCCCGGGACCCTGGACAAAGGCGTCGAGAAGGTGCCGACGCCCTGGCAAGGCTTCCCTTAGCACTGCTCCCATCTCGGATTCAGTCTTTCAAGTATTACTGTGCACTTACCACGTCCCCACCTCAGCGGGGCTGCCAAGGCTGAGCCATGTGCTGTGCCCCCCGGAAAGCTGACAAGTATCGACAAATATGCCACCCTTTCCCCCTCTTTCTCCCGCTGAGCGCCTCCTTTCCTGGGTGGGCTTGGTTTCATGGTCCAAGCCAGACATTTTGGAAAACGTCTGCAGTGGCACGGAGCAGGCAGGAATATTTATTTCTCGTCTCCATCTGCATTGCTTCCTCTCTTGGAGAGGAGCTGGGGGGTGGGGGGGGGAGGAGGGAGGAGGAGATGTGGCTTCTTCGTGCCAGCCCAAGAGGCGTCCAGGCGCGCCCCTCCTCTCCTCCCTCCGCAGCCTCAGCAGCAGGAGCAGCCTGGGATTTCTGGAGGCAGGCGCCTTTCGAACTTTCGAAAGATCAGCCCAGTTGGAAGTCGCAATTAGCAACTATCCTCCCATTTCCCCTGACTGCAAGATGTGCTTTTGTGTGGGTTGCCTGCTTGGAAGGGTCCTTGTCTGGTGGGTAGCCTCACGCTGTTCTTTTAGGAGGCCAGGGAGGGCGACAAGCAGGTGCCTAGGTCCCTCTCCGAACAAATTAAAATCCTTTCCTTGGGCCTATCCAGGTGTTAACAAATATGCTAGTTCTGGAATCCACTGGCTCCTTCATTCTCTCATTCACTCGTTCACCCAGCACGTATTTACCGAGTGCTATTGTGGTGCTAGGTGCCGGAACACAGCAGTGAGCAAGGGACACATGTTCTCTGTCCTTTTGGAGTTTACATTTAGGAAGAGAGACAGACAATAAAAGAGGGGGGAAAAAAGTATAGGGTAGGGGTTGTGCTATACAGGCCACAAAGTGGAAAGAAAGGGAGAGAAAGAGAGAGGAGGTGGGGGGTAGTGTTGCTTCAGCTAGGATGGTCACGGAAGGTCTCTGAGGAGGAGACGTGGACTGAAACCAAGAGGGGCCAGCCACAGCTGAAGAGAGGGGAGAATCTTCTAGACAGAGCAGCAATTGCAATGACCAGGAGGCAGGAAAGCAGGAGGCATTTTTGCAGCATAGTTTGGAAGTAGCATGGACAGGACTTAGAGATTGAGCACCTGCTGGGGGCGGAGACTCGATGGAAGGAGCAAAGTGGAAGGTCCCTCGCGGTGAGGTCCTGAAGAGTTCCTCTGTGCCGAGTGGTCCTGAGAGGCCAGTGGCACATGGCAAAAAGCCCCGAGAGGGGAGACCCAGGCTGGGGCCCCAGCCCTGCCCCTCACCCCGGAACTGTGTGACCTGGAACATGGGATCCCACCTTGGCTTTCAGTTCCCCTCGGCATAATACGATGATGGTTTTATTAGATGAATTCCAAAGTCTAAAATAGCTACAGGAGCAACGTTATTCTTTAAGCACTTGCTAAGTGCCTGGCACAGGGCTAAGTGCTTTAAATATATTTTTCTCATTGAATCCTCTGAACGCTGCCATTCCAACAACGCTCCTCTGCCTGCAGACAATGAAACGGAGGCTTGGAGAGGTTAAGTCCTCTAGTTCGACCAGCATGCTCTCTCCCACTAACCTCCGGAGCCTTTAAGGAAGGGTGATGATGTAGGAGGAGCCCACACCCTCTCCCCTGGCAGAGAGAATAATTACCTCAAATCCTCCGAAGGCCCCGAGAATTCACTCCAGGTTCCCCCAACCAGCCAGCCATTTGAGATGGTCACAATGGAACCCTGGAAGCCACTCTGGTCAGGCAGGGTAAAGCCCTATTAAAAGCTGTCAGGGGCCCAAACACTACGGTATGCACAATCCCCTAGGTCTCAAATTACCCTCATCCACCTTTGTTCCCTCTTCATTTGCCAGCCTTTTAATTGGTTTGTCACTTAGAAATGAAACAAAGTAGACATGCTTCTTCCTGCTAGAATCTGAGACCAGGACTGGTGTTAGTGCGGATCACCCAGCAGCGTAGACGGCTTTTGTGCAGAGCTCTTGAGGTCATGCCAAAGAACAAGACTGCCACTTTGGTCAAAAGCCAGAACTGGATCAAAAGAATTCACTTCTGTGCACAGACTATTTTGGTCAGGAAGCAGTTCAAATTTTAGCATGGGGTGA